GTTTCCCACTGTCGAGACAGCATAGTCTAGTCACTGCACTGTGCTTACTTTCTAATGACAGAACATAAATCTATTTTGTCTAATCCCCAATTGTCTAAATGGGATTAGCAGAATTCGTGGAAGATAAAGCTGTGAACAGTTACAAGTCACGATGATTATACACTCCCTTCAAGATCAGAGGCAGCATGCAGAGTCAAGGAGAGAAGATTCTTATTATTTGGCTTCCCCTTAGGCATTATGCTAGGCACTGTACAAGAGAGGATTTTGAACCAGATAACCTTCCGTTCTCATCTACTTAGATTTTTTTATCTCACTATCTTGGACATATTACAACAGCCAGTGGGGGGGAAAAGTCATTTGGTATTTCAGTCTTGCTCAAATCCAATCCTGCTTGGTATTAAAACAAAAATTAAGTTTTAGCAATCCAAGCATGATGCCAGATCTTTAGTCAAATGCAATTCCATGATCCAAAGAACCACAAAACTGTGAGTCTCAAGAAACTCCTCCCTCAAAAAGCAATACCCCATCCTGCACAGCATGTTGCCTTAAAAAGTGAGGGGAAAACACTAAGCAATTTATCATAGAACATGATAAAGAATTGCTCAAAATCCTATACTAATGCAAACTAACTATTGTGTATTTCCTCCAGATTTTATCCAATAATTTCTAGAAATGCATTTCTGTGCATTTAAATATTGCTCTGGTAAACCTGATAAGATTTTTTTTCAGTGTAATGTTTTGTAATCTGCTCTGGAAGTCTAACAGTAAATATCAAGCCACATAGATGGGTGAGTTCTGAAACAATTGTGATTGTGGTGGAGAGACTGAAGGAACCATCGACTTGTTCAATGACCAGTGAGGATAGAAAAGGCCAGTTCTATATCTGGGGTCATTAGGAATGGAACTGATAAACATACAGTCAGTATCATAATGCCTTTACACAAATCAACAGTCCAAGCACACTTTGAATACTGTGTACAGCTCTGTGTACCAATTCTCAGAAAGAAAAACAGTGGAGATGAATAGACAGGTACATAAAATGTCAACCAAAATGACTAAAGGACAGAAGAACATTCTCTATGAGGAAAGGTTGCAGCTAGAGCAGCTCAGTTTACAAAAATGGGGAGCCAGGGAAAGGATATTGTAGAGATGTATGATTCATAGAGAGCAAAGGGGTATGGAAGCTTTTTTCTTTCTCTCATTATGCTAGTACTTGAGGAAACAAAATAAAGCTAAATAGATGGAGATTTAAAACAGATAAAAGCACTGCATACAGCACACAGTTAAACTATGGAGTGCACTACTGTAAGATTAAGCAATGGCCACCAACCTAGAAGGCTATGAAAGGAGATCAGACAGATTCCCAGAGGATAAAACGATCAATGGACACAAGACATAATGGATATATATTGTGTTTAATATCAGAGGCAGTATGCCTCTGAACAGCACTTGCAAGTCACCATGATTGGGAGAGTACTACTGGGCTTCTTTCCTAATTATTGCTTCCCCATAGATATCTGTCAAGTCACTGTAAGAACAAAATGCAGGTCTTTATTCTGATCCATCACAGCACTTACATTTTTTATACAATGAAAAATCAGTACACCATGACTACAGTTATAAAAATATGAACTGCCATGCATGCAGTCCGGATCTTGAGCAGGGGCCATATGTAATGGAAATATTATGTGCTATAAAGGTACAGTTTTACTTTAGCATTTTGTATTTCCAGAGACTTTTGGTCTCTTACCCATCCATCCTAATAGAGGCTACTCTTTCTTCTCACACTGACCATGACACATGAGGAGTTTGGGAAGATTCAGGGAGTGAATGTTAGAGTAATTCCTAGCCTAGATATTACACAGGCCAATTATTCAATCTGTTAGGCTGGGGAAAAAAAATCCTGTCATTAATGCAGAGAACGTACCTGGAGCAAAAAAACATTATACTGTGGCACATTTTCCAATGACCATAAAAGTCCCTATGTGCTTACAATATTGGATTATCCATTTTGTTTCTCCAAAGTTATTCCCATGAATGAACATCTGGGGTTTGGGGATAGACTGTTTAGATGGCTAGACTTAATATAGCCTAGTAAAGGGAAAGATATGGAGGTAGATTTTACAGATTTTACTTTCCTGGGCTCCATGATCACTGCAGATGGTGACAGAAGCCATGAAATTAAAAGATGCCTGCTTCTTGGGAAGAAAGTGATGACAAACCTAGACAGCAGCTTAAAAAGAGATATCACCTTGCCGACAAAGGTCTGCATAGTCAAAGCTATAGTTTTTCCAGTAGCGATGTATGGAAGTGAGAGATGGACCATAAAGAAGGCTAGCCACTGAAGAATTGATGCTTTTGAATGGTGGTACTCTCGGTGGAGAAGACTCTTGAGAGGTCCCCTGGACTGCAAGGAGAACACACCTATCAATTCTGAAGGAAATTAACCCTGAGTGCTCACTGGAAGGACAAATTCTGAAGCTGAGGCTCCAGTACTTTGGCCAGCTCATGAGAAGAGAAGACTCCCTGGAAAAGACCCCGATGTTGGGAAAGTGTGAAGGCAAGAGGAGAAGGGGACGACAGAGGATGAGATGGCTGGACAGTGTCATCAAAGCGACCAACATGAATTTGACCAAACTCTGTGAGGCAGTGGAAGACAGGAGGGCCTGGCGTGCTCTGGTACATGGGGTCACGAAGAGTCAGACACGACTTAACGGCTAAACAACAAAAGGGTTTCCACCTTGGATATGTGTCAGTGGCTATTTGTTCCTATAATTGATTGCTCTTACAATGCCAAATGAAGATAATTGTTTCTGAATGTTATGTAGCTCTCCTTGTTTGTGTTTTCAAAATAGAAACTAACAAAGACATGATTCTACAGCACTTCTGAAACATGTCTTGTTATCCTCATAGCTGATAACCTGAATTTCTTGATTGTTAAATGTTGTGCATTTCAGCTTTTAATTGTTCTTATGAAGTGTCAAAGATCTGATTATCCTCTTGAGAAAATATAAAACCTAACATTACAGTGGTGCACAGTCTGAATATCAATTCATGAGTAAACAAACAGATAAAGCAAAAATACACAAGGTACTAATAACAGGTTACCTACCTGGTTTATATTTTTTAATTTTAATTTGTACACTACTATTCTAAGCAGCCTTGAGAACTAAATGGTGAAAAAAATGGGGTGGAAACATATAAACATTATCACCATTGTATCTTGTCTACATTTTTCTCTGACACACACACACTTTTATGCATTATACTTCTGATTTTTTAAAAAACAAACTAAAATTTCTTATTTATTCTACTAAGGTATATCTCATATTATGAACACTTATAAAATTGCTTTTATATAGTGCATAAAAGTAGCAGACAGAAGACATAGTAAATTTTAACCTGGAAAAAATAAAGCTCGCAAGTACAGAAACGCATAAACTGAAATGCTTATAAATCAATCCACTAAACTATACCAAAGAAAAACAAGGACGACACATGCCTTCAAAGAAAAATCCTTTGATAAAGAAACTGTAAGGTTTTTTGGAAAGCAAAAGTAATCATATTATCGAACCATTTGGAAGAGATAAATCATTAGGACTAGATGAGATACCAAGAGAACTAATTCATGGTTGTCATTGTTTAGTCATTTAGTCGTGTCTGACTCTTCGTGACCCCATGGACTAGAGCACGCCAAGCCCTCCTATCTTCCACTGCCTCCCGGAGTTGTGTCAAATATAAGTTGGTTGCTTTGATGACACTGTCCATGGTACATGGTACACTGTTCATGGTGCAGAGACTGAATTTATCAAAATCCTATCAAAACCAGGATGGCACAATGTGAGTCCTCTATACATCCAGAGCATACACAGAAATTCCTGTTGTTTAGTTCTGCAGATTACCACACATATATGTTACTGTATATTGAGTAAGTAGAACCTTAGGTTTAGAACCATTTCATTCATCCCAAAAGGATATTTCATCAGACCAATTTTCAAGATTCTCCACATTTCTAAGTTGTCCAGTTTCCTTTGGTGGGGGAAATTCTCCCCCTACCGACAAGTTTTCTGCTTCCCCAGAACCTCTCATTGCTGACACAATGTAAGAAAGAAAGAAAGAAAGAAAGAAAGAAAGAAAGAAAGAAAGAAAGAAAGAAAGAAAGAAAGAAAGAAAACATGAACAAACGCCTATTTGGATAAAATAAATCTACAAGGAACAAAACAAAAACAAACCGTGAGCATTTGTGTATAAGGTTACAGTCATTTTCGTTTCTGCATTTATCTACCGGATAAATTAACACTCATTAAATTATCCTGAAGAAGTGCCACAAAGAAGAAAAAACCAAACACTTTTAGATTTTTGAGAACTTATTTCTGGCATCATTTTTATTTAATCTTACTATTTGCTTTTCTCTCTGTGTTGTTACCTCTTTCTGCTGAGATGTTTTTGAATTAATTGTTGTGACTGCTTCCTTAAAAGCCATTGCATGTGTTTGGGTAGGACTAATATTTAACATTTACTGGTTGTGAAATTGAAAGAGTTGAAAGTACAGTTGAAAGATTTTTATTTATATGCCACCATCAAGGTCAAATTGCACCCTTTTGAACTTGTCTAAGTGTAGCATTTATCTTCAGAGGCCCTGAAGATAAACTTTGGGGTCTCTGAAGATAAACTTCATGTATCTTGCCATTAGATTTGTACTTCTGCTGACTGGTCAATGACAGCAATAAATCTTATGTATATTATATCTATTTTAATTTTAAATGTGGCATGGTTGCTCCTTTATCCCTGCAGCTCTATGCTGCAGTCCTGATGAAAGCCACCCTCCCCCAAACCTGCTATTTACATAACGAGGAAAATTGATATTGGCAAGAGTGAGTGCTTTTCTCCTGAGGTAGCTTCTGTCACAGCAGCAGTTTAAAACAATGGTATAAGCACACATTACATCAGATTAGCCCTGAGATTCCTCAGATATAAACAAAGTTCATATATATATTTACCTTTGCAGTGAAACAGTGTGGCAGGAAAGTGGTACAAGTCTCTCCCATCAGCTTTACAGATATGTCCCAATAACTGGATGTGAATTGATATTCTCATCAAAAAGAAGCAGGGAGAGAATACTAAGGCGGTATCTCTGCAGTTGGTGACTTGTCCCATTTCAAATGTACAACAAGAATACCAGTGCAATGAATGATTCAAACTGTTACTTCATCACAGCATTATCTAGGCTGAATGTAGGAATCAAAGGTTAAAATAAGCCCTATACAGATGTTACTTACTCAGTTATTTCCAACATGTGAGCAGCAGAGCACTCAAACCTACCCTCTCTTATATCTTTTTTCCATGTCAAGTGTAACACTTGAAATGAATCCTGATCATATAAAGCTTTCCTATTCAAGCAAGAACCCCCGTTTTCTGCATGGACAGCCTACACATGATATTTTGTGGGTTTTAAGTTTTCAACCTTGCTGGGTTGATTTGCAACCAGGAGTAACAACCTGCTTGTTTTCTTCTCACTGGAGCACCAAGGAGCAAGTGGCTCAAAAGGTGTTGGGAGAAGGGGCTCACAAGAAGTTTCCTAACCGCTAGTGGACTGACCTGCCTGGCAAGCACCCACACCAAGTAGCACAAAGATGATGTGACTGAGTGGTAAGTACTGTAGATCCTTTCTGTGGTGACCTGGCATTCATGACTAGAGATGGGGGTATTCGTATAGGAATACCCTTGCACAGGTGGCAATAATGAGGGTCTAGCCCTATGGGGCTGGACGGTCCACTCACAATTCCGCCACTGCCATGACCTCCACAGAGCCTTTCAATGGCTCTGGGGATCGCAAACAGCTTGCCATTCCTGGGAGGAGGTGGGATGACAAGCCTCTCTGCCAGATTGAAGAGTGGCTCACAGATCATGAACTCCTGAGCCACTAGAAGGCTTCGTGGAGGTTGCAGCAGCGGTGGAATTGTATGGACGGTCCACTCACAATTCCGCCACTGCCATGACCTCCACAGAGCCTTTCAATGGCTCTGGGGATCGCAAACAGCTTGCCATTCCTGGGAGGAGGTGGGATGACAAGCCTCTCTGCCAGATTGAAGAGTGGCTCACAGATCATGAACTCCTGAGCCACTAGAAGGCTTCGTGGAGGTTGCAGCAGTGGTGGAATTGTAAGTGGACCCTCCATCCCCATGGGGCTGGACTCTCGCTATCACCACCTGTGTGGGAGTATTAGTATCCATATATGAAATACCCCCATTTCTATTCATGACACATTTCTTCTGTGAGTAAAATATCTAGCAGTCCAAGCTAAATATCTATTGTAAACTTTTCAGTATAGGCAGAATCTGAGTTCCATTTATTTCTATCATGAATATCATTTTTAAAGAACTTGCTATGTCAATTTTAACCTGTAACAAAACAATGATTATTTAGATTTTTTTAACAATATATGCAGTATATTATTTAAAAATAACCCATACAATTTGGGTTAAAGTTTCAAGAAATTTCTTAATAAAATTAAGTCATTCTGAAAAAAAAAAAGAATCTCTCCCGTTAGGGCAACAGTGTAATATGTGAGCCTCAAAGGTGAAGAGCAAGAGAGTTTCCTGAAGCATGTGGATGGTATACCAATTACAAAATATCGATTTTGGGAAGTGATTTTACGAAAGGCAGGGATTCACAGGTGGCAATTTGGTTCTCATTACTTTCACATTGCTGCTGCATCCACAGCGCAACAGCTATGATACAAGGTCGAAGACATCAAAAAAATTGGAAGGTGGTCCTCCAACAGATATTGCAGTTATCTGTGCCCTTTGCCACAGCTTTAGGTGCTAGCATTTCTTGTTCTATGTTCTTATCATTACAGGTTTAGGGACTCATCCTTCTGAGTTCGAGATCATTACAGGTTTAGGGACTCATCCTTCTGAGTTCATTTGTGTGGTCACAGTTATGTGTTCTGGGCAGCAAAATATACTAGTATGACCAGCTGGGGTCAGAACCTAGCCCTAAGCATGCGGGCCTCGTTGGAGTGGAGGTGATGGAGAGGTATGCTCTGGGATGGGTTCTTAGAATTGGCGTCCCAGGGTTGATGGGTTCTTGGAATTGGCGTCCCAGGGTTCTCCGGATGTGCCCCCTCATATTGTGGTGATCCACCTTGATGGCAGTGACTTGACCTAGACAGTGGGCAAGTCATTAATATGGCAGAATTGGGGATCTGCAGGCTTTGGTTGCATGCTTTCCTGGCACGTGGATAGTCTGGTCTGCAATTATTCCGTGCATAGTATGGAGAGCCAGATGCGATCTGAGGTCTAGTGACAAGTCCTGGAAAGGAGTCAACTGAGAGGGTGGCAGAGCTATAAAGTCGGGTTTGAGGTCAGTAATTACATACCCAAACATTAGGGATTTTCCTGCAGGACTATAAGGGGTACTCAGGGCCAAAGTTTTGGCTTGGTGGGGGGCTTGGGGCATGCAATGTAGCCCCTAAGCCATGGTGGGTAGTGCTAAGCAGGGCAGATTCAGGTGAGTTCCAGGGTGGGCACCCAGAGGGTACAAGGAATCCCTCCTCTCAGAATTGCATTTACAGAGGTTTGGCTAAGGGGAGGGAAAACAGGAAGACCTCAGAGACACTGGGCACTTGGGAGTTTAGAGACTCAGGTAAAGGGCAGCCCCACGTACTCCGGGTGCATGGCTGAGAGGGTGCTGGACAATTCAACAGCACTCTCTCGGGGTAGGAACTTCCAGGGGCAAAGGTCTAGATTGGTTGGTCAAGAATATCTAGGGTTCCAGACCTGTTAGCACTACGGCTGGCCCCCTTGTAAAAAGGGGTAGTTAAAAGTTAAATAGTTAATAAAGTTGTGGCCCTAGTTTTAATCCATATTACCGTGTCTCGATTTGTTATTTCGGGTTGGAAGGGCAAAGAATTTGTTCCCTTGCCTCCTGCTAAAATCCAGGGCTGCCATATTCTTCCCCACATCAAATTTATTGGCATGATTACTCTGAAATGAAGCTATTAATGCTATATTGAAGATATCACATTTTGTAGATGTGGTCAATGGCATAAGTCATCTATATTTGATTGAAGGCCAAATTGGATATGATAGCTATCTTGAATGTCACAGAATTCAGTGGAAGGAATTTCAGATTCTGGAAGCAAAACAAAGGGGGCAAAGTTCATCTGAACGTCATAGGTGCAAGCTTAGTAAAAATGTCCCTCAACTAAGGCCTGAAGCAAACAACTACTGCATGCCAGGACAGGCTGTGACACTGTCTGCTTGGTGTACCATTTATGCATTTCATAGCTCCTTAAGCATAGTTTGTAACACGTAGACAGAGCTTGTTTGTGAATACCACCCTTGTTGAAGAAAAAGCTGACAACACCCTTAGATCTCTCTACAGACAGTCCAAGTCAACACTGTATCACTGTAGCTTCAGTTTACTTCTTCAATATAGGCATCATGAGCAGACCATTATAATTTAGCATGGCCTTGAGTCAGAAGTAGAAAATTAGACATACAGGCAACAATTCCATAGTAAAATGGCTACTTTTTTTCTGAATTACTGACTATGGCATTGAAATACTCTCTTTCATACTTTTAAAAGTTATCTTCCTCATATACCAAACTTCTAAATCTACTGATTGTCTGCAAGTAGTATGGAAAATGCCTTCTCAAGAGTATTCCAATTATCCCCTCAAAGTTTAAGTATACATTAAATCTTCTTTCAAGCTTCTTACAAAAAGTCAAAACTACAAGGTCATTCTTGAACCAAGAACGCAAGTGTTACTGAATTTCATTTCCCCCTATGATCTCTAATGAAGAGACAGCAATATGGCCACCCAAGATATGGCTTGAGAAGAAGAAACTAGAACCTGTGAAGCATGCTACATACTATGTGGGGTTACATTTGTGGTAATTTACTGCACATTATTTAAGCAATCATAGCAAGGCATTACATTTGGCCATGACTTCTTGAATAATGAATAGAAGATAGGATGCATTCAAGAAACTCCATGCTGAAAGCAGATATCTGAACACAAAGTCTGCCAGTTACTTCACCATTCAGACAACCACACTTAATGCACAGACATTGAGAGAAGCTGGCCTGTAGGGTACTGTAAGTGGAGGACAGCTGTGCGTTTCTACTGCCTTTTGTACATGTGCATACCCAAACATGCAGAGGGCAATACAGTACATGTAAAGGAAAAGAAGTCACAGCATTCTGCTTATAAAACAGGAGCACAGCAATAATTCTTCAGGAAAACATAAACCAGAAAACAAATGGCATGTGAATGGCAATATAGCTGAATTAGATTACAAACTGCAGCCAAAACAAACAAGCACCACAAGCTCCAACAGCCATGCATTTAATTAGATATATGTAAAACTCAAAACTAATAAACATAAGTATCTGGAAAGACATGTCTTTCACAAAAGTCTTATTAAACAGAGCCACCAAACCACAAATCTGTGTTAAGGGATTTCTTTGTATTTTAATTAAACATAAAACAACTGTGATGAGATAATCATAGCAATTTGTGCACACTCATTTTCTACCTTTTAGTTATGTTCTCAGCCAAAAACTGTTGATTGCACACTCTGAGCTGAGCAGTTTAAAATGAATCTTTTCATATACATATGTTGTAAATCATGAAAAATATCCAGAATAAACTTAAATTCTCAGCAAATAAGCTAAATTACTGACACCACAGTCACTAAAATGAATTAGTCCAGGCCAGAAATGTATCAAAAACCTTTACTTGCTAATCATAAAGTGGAAATTATCTCAGAGATGAAACTTATATGAGCTGAACAAGGAAAAGTTCCCAAATTTAGCAGAGAAGTTCCGATGTCTAGTTCATACTTACCACTAGCAGCACATGATGACTAAAAATTGTTAAGAAGTGTCTCATGACATAGACAATGGTCAATTTGCTTCCTACACAAACATCAACTTCCCTTCTCTGTCTCACTTATTCACAAATTTCCCTTCCCTATCTCAATGATTCACAAAGAGAAAGATCGTATGAACTTAGTGACTTAGAGTACAGTAGAAATGAAGAGTGAAGTCATTCCCAAGGCTGGAACTGTTCTTGCTTCTTTGTTGACAGTAAATTAACTAACACTGTTATTTATACGCCATCCCTTCAAAGATGGAGTAAACTTGTTTTCTGCTGTTGCACC